CTGCGGAGGCGGCGGAGATGTGAGAAACGGACCAACGCCCAGCGATCGACCGACGACCACCGACCGAATGTCGGCGCCCCCAACGCACTCGACGTCGCGTGGACCCGTGGCCTAGTGGATAGCGCTGCGGATTTCAAATCTAGCTTCACTCTTAAGGTAAGTTCCTGGTTCGATTCCGCCGCGGGTCCACATTTCTTCGCGGACGCCAACTCCTGGGACAGCGACAAGTTCCCAACAACAGCGCCTGCAAGCACATCTTCGTCGGACTCCCGTCGACGCCGCAGGAACGCGGCGACTGGTTTCGCAAGCGCCAGTAGTTCAAAGCCACCGCCGCTTTACTTTCGACGCCATCCATGGCTGCCCGTGCTACCTACGCAGAAGCCTCTGGACGACGAAGCACGGCCGCCAGCATGCGGCACAGCTACGAGACGGAAACCGAACAAACCATCGAGACGCAACATGGACACGCCCCCTTCGGCATCCCTTCACAACCTGGCAGCAACCCGGTCCCGGTCCTAACTGGGAGAAGTACGAAGACATGACGATACTTCTTGCAAAAATCCTGATTATACCAACCTACCGCCTGCTGTATGGTGTGACCCGTAGTGGATCCGTTACGGTATAGTTCGTGACTTTACTTGTCTCTGGTCTCGACGACACGCCGGAGAATCGCGCGTCCGTAGCGCTTAGGCAAATAGATGCTGCCCACGACGACGACCTCTTGTAACATTCTGGACACTTTTCGCTGCCTGCACCCGCCGGGGATGGTTAGGTCCTTACTGGCCTTTGTCGCTACAGTGTGTTTCATTCTTTCCGCGCTCAGAGTGAGACTATCAAAGGCGAGCACCTGACTACGAGGTCCTAACATGTTCGCCATGTAGAACTTTATTTGCCCTTGAAGGTTTTTCGACACCAAATTTAGCATTAATTAGGCTGAGGTCTAAGTGAGGGGTTGGGCCATCTTTAAGCCTAAACGTCCAAATCTCTATGTTTCGCCGTGTTTTCGATCACAGAAGTATCTTACAAGCAAAGCGCATGCACAAACTCGTAGCATAAAATATTGTTGGACATGTGCTCATTACCAAGCATGTCTTTCTGGTACTTCTTCCTGGTACCTTTTCCTGGTACATCTTCTGGGTACCTCTTCCGGGAACCTCCTCAGGGACATTGTCGATTTCGCCTGCGTCAATTCGCCAACACTTCGTGCTGTTGCCTTGGAGTACTCAAGCCCACGATTCCAATGCACACAGCCATTTCTGCAAGTCAATTTAGTTCTATTTCCTTGCATTATTCCGCAGCCAACGTGCCTCCCAATACTCATAATATCGTCCATAATTTTCAAACTTTGCACGACTCATATATTTTTAGTTGTTGTGTTAGCTCAGTAAATACGTTTACTACATGCTGTCTTTACCGAAACTAAGCTAGCTAATACACAACAAACATGCTGCATCTGTGATTGAACAAAACAAGTGTGCCCTTGGGCTCGATTTCGAAATAGCGAGACGTCCAGTTCATTGCGTGAATCACGTGAAGTTGCTTCGGCTCGATTGCGAAATAGCTTACTTTGCCCTACTGACCCCGGCTAAATAGCACAACCCGACGAACTGATTTCAGGCTATGACTAACGCATCCGAGAAAAATGGCAGTGACAACGGTCTCTTCGAGGTTGAATGCGTTTTAGCTGCTCGCACCATGGACCACCGGCGTGAATATTTAGTTAAATGGGTCGGCTACCCAAGGTAAGCCTAGTAACGCTTGATGTGGATGTCTCTTGCAAATGGAGGTCCCACCGCTAGCGTGCTGCAAAGGCATCACCTGCACGGTTGATCGGCTGACCCGTCAGCCATTCTTTTCAGCAACAAAAGCACATGGGAGCCCGCGTCGTCCCTCCGGCAGTGCAAGGAGCACGTCGAGAAGTTCAATCAAGCCAAGGAGCAGCACCGCCAGCTGCAACTGAAGCTGAAAGCGGGACTCCGTGAAAGGAAGCGCCAGACGAAACCGCAGGAGCGCCGCAGCGGTCATCAGAAGGTCAGTACTCTACGAAAACCCCTCCACGACGGGATAAACAGACGAGTGTAAACCCACGAGTTGCTCTTTCTTGAATCCACCAACTGGCTCTCTCGTGGGAGGCCCAACAAACGCCTAGGACAGGGACAAAGGGCAGTATACCACGGGTCACTAGGGATCGGCGTCACTACCCAGTCGGAAGCCAAACCGGCAGGACCCTCCCGGACACTGGCCAGGCCGGTACTTTACGGACAACGCTCTGGTCTGGCCGAGATTAACGGCCCGGCCGCCGATCTGTCACGACCGACCAGCCACGCAAGAAATTATACCGAGCTGTTCTACCACAAGCTATCCCACTGAAGCCTTAACGGCATCATTTAGAAGGATCCGGCGCGTCTTCCCGGTGGCAGCGCACGCGCGTCGTCCGCCGGTAGTACGTCCCGCACTGGCACTACGAGGTCGAACGTCAGCAGCAGATGCGTGACGGTGCTCTCCAGGATGCAAGGTGTGGACGGAGAAGTCATGTTCCGAGTGAAAGTGTAAGCGCCTTCTTAGCACGAGTCACTAACATATTGCGCGTTTTTAGAGACGACGAAGAATTCATCATGCAATACGGCGATCTCAACAAGAAATACCCTCACNAGTCTCCAGTGTTTTATTGAGGCAAAGTGTTTTCGCTGAATAAGCGATTGAGGAGTTTTACTATCGAATATCTTTAGTTATTAACTTTGAAACCTCGATTACCTCTGCGTCAACAATATTTGTGGTCTGTTACTTTTAAGTTATTTCCACGTCGTTCAGAATTTTGCTTCCCTGTTGTTGGTGGTAGACGCGTTAAAACAAGGAAAGAGGTATTATTTTCGATACGGAATTGCTTGAAATTTTGATCCGTCGGGCGCATGCGCTAACTTTACCTCCTTCCTATTTTCTCTCGTTGCGTATAACTCATAACGTATTGTAACTTCTCGTTAGTCTTGCCACTAGCTGGTATAAGACGTTTTTCCATAGTTCTTTATTAATGGTGTAGCGTAGGACATAGCTGAGCAGGAAGAGACAGTACCGAGCGATAAGGCCAAACTTCTTGCTCGATTTCTTCGCAGCCGCTCGGCTTCTTCTCCCGGCCGGTCGGTCCCAGATCCGCTGTAAATAAATACGATGCAGCCCACCGCATCCGACGCTTCCTAGCGCTCAATCGATACCGCACCGTCTTCCCCACATCCAGCACGCCCCTCGCCATCTTTGCAGGCGAAATCGAGTAAGCACTTCTTCGAGAAAAACGTCACCACACAGTTCTTCAAAATGTAGCCGAAAGCAGCAGCACCGAAGCATCGGCACGACAACTAGATGGCGAGGAAATGGTGCGCACCGTCTTCGACATCACCCACATTCAAATACATGCCATTTTCATTTACCATTTGGGGAAGTGCGGCAAACCGCGCTTTCTTCATGCCGAACTGCCCACTCGTGCTAATGACACTAAGGTATGCGGCATCGGGCTTGTACTCAAGGACAGCGCCTGCAAGCACAACTTCGTCGGACTCTCGTCGACGCCGCAAGAACGCGGCGACTGGTTAGCAAGCGCCAGCAGTTCAAAGCCACCGCCGCTTTACTTTCGACGCCATCCATGGCTGCCCGTGCTACCTACGCTGAAGCATCTGGGCGACGAAGCACGGCCGCCAGCATCCGGCTCAGCTACGAGCCGGAAACCGAACAAACCATCGAAACGCAACACGGACACGCTCCCCCCACCCTTCGGCAGCCCGTCACAACAGGTCAGCAACCCGGTCCCGGTCTTAACTGGGAGAAGTACGACGACATGACGATACTTCTTGCAAGAACCCTGATTACACCAGTCTACCGCCTGCTGCATGGTGTGACCCGTACTGGATCCGTTACGGTATAGTTCGTTACTTTACTTGTCTCTGGTCTTGCTGACAGGCAGGGGAAGCGCACGTCCGCAGCGCCTAGGCACATAGACGCTGCCCACGACCACGACCTCTTGTAACATTCTGGACACTTTTCGCTGCCTGCAACCACTGGGGATGGTTAGGTCCTTACCGGCCTTCTTCGCTGCGGTGTGCTACATTCATTCCGCGCGCAGAGTGAGACTACCTGCCGTGTTCTCCATGTAAAGCTTTATTTGAGAAGTATCTTACAAGCAAAGCGCATGCACAATCTCGTAGCACAAAATATTGTTGGACATATGCTCATTACCAAGCATGTCTTTCTGGTACTTCTTCCTGGTACCTTTTCCTGGTACTTCTTCCGGATACCTCTTCCGGGAACCTCTTCAGGGGCACCGTCGACTTCGCCTGCGTCACTTCGCCAACGCTTCGTGCTGTTGCCTTGGAGTACTCAAGCCCACGATTCCATTGCACGCAGCCTTTTCTGATGGTCAGTCTAGTTCTATTCCCTTGCATTATTCCGCAGCCAACGGGCCCTCCCAATTCCTCATACTATCGTCCATAATTTTCAACATTGCACTACTTTCACTTAAGCTTTTACTTGTTGTGTTAGCTCAGTAAACACGTTTACTGCAAGCTGTCTTTCACCGAAACTAAGCTAGCTAATATACAACGAACATGCTGCATCTGTGATTGAACAAAACCAGTTTGCCCCTCGGCTCGATTTCGAAATATCGGGACGTCCAGTTCATTGCGTGAATCACGTGAAGTTGCTTCGGCTCGATTGCGAAATAGCTTACTTTGCCCTACTGACCCCAACTAAAGAGCACAACACGACGAACTGATTTCAGGCTATGAGTATCGCATCCGAGAAAAATGGCAGTGACAACGGTCTCTTCGAGGTTGAATGCGTTTTAGCCGCTCGCACCATGGACCACCGGCGGGAATATTTGGTTAAATGGGTCGGCTACCCAAGGTAAGCCTAGTCACGCTTCAGTTGGAACTTCCCTGGCAAATGGAGGTCCCACCGCTAGCGTGCTGCAAAGGCATCGCCTGTACGGTTGACCGGCTGACGCGCCAGCGCACTCTTTTCAGCAACAAAAGCACATGGGAGCCCGCATCGTCCCTCAGGCAGTGCAGGGAGCACGTCGAGAAGTTCAATCAAGCCAAGGAGCAGCACCGCCAGCTGCAACTGAAGCTGCAAGCGGGACTCCGGGAAAGGAAGCGCCAGCCGAAATCGCAGGAGCGTCGCAATGATCATCAGAAGGTCTGTTC